TGGCATCTCGAGGAGAAGCACTTCACCGTTGATGGAGAGCCCATCTCTGGTGGGCTGTTCGACTTTGGACTGTATTTCTTCCACAACGCACACGAGCTCGTTAAGCGCGGAGCGGGACCATACTTCTACCTGCCCAAGATGGAGTCGCATCTTGAGGCTAGGCTGTGGAACGATGCATTCAACCTGGCGCAGGACTACATTGGCATGAGGCGCGGAACCATTCGTGGTACCGTCTTGATCGAGACCATCACCGCCGCTTTCGAGATGGATGAGGTACGTTGAGCATACGATCAACACAAATGGATTATACTGACTGCTACATAGATCATCTACGAGCTCCGCGACCACTCCTCGGGTCTCAACTGCGGTCGTTGGGATTACATCTTCAGCACCATCAAGCGCTTCCGCCAGAACCCCAACTTCGTCCTCCCCGACCGCGACTCCGTCACCATGACCTCTCCCTTCATGGACGCCTACGTCAAGCTTCTCATCAAGACTTGCCACAGGCGTGGCGTTCACGCCATGGGCGGCATGGCTGCCCAGATCCCCATCAAGACGGACCCGAAAGCGAACGATGCTGCCATGGCCAAGGTGCGCGCCGACAAGCTCCGCGAGGCACGCGCTGGCCACGACGGTACATGGGTAGCTCACCCAGCCCTTGCGGCTATCGCGAGCGAAGTCTTCAACGAGCACATGCCTACCCCCAACCAGATGCACGTCCGCCGCGAAGACGTCCACATCACCGCCAACGACCTCCTCAACATGAACGTGCCCGGCAAGGTCACCGAGGACGGCATCCGCAAGAACCTCGACATTGGTCTCAGCTATATGGAGGCCTGGGTCCGTGGTGTCGGCTGTGTACCCATCAACTACCTCATGGAGGACGCTGCTACAGCCGAGGTCTCAAGAAGTCAACTATGGCAATGGACCAGGCACAACGTCGAGACTGCCGAGGGCAAGAAGGTGACCAAGGACTACGCGCTCAAGCTTCTGCACGAGCAGGCCAAGGCACTCAGCGACAAGGCACCAAAGAGCAACAAGTTCCATCTTGCGGCCAAGTACTTTGAGGGACAGGTCACTGGAGAGGACTACGCCGAGTTCTTGACATCGTAAGTCCAACCCCATCTTTCCTTAACGATACATGCTAACAACGTCCCAGACTACTCTACAACGAGATCACAAACGTAGGTGCGCCCAAGGGAGCCGCCAAGTTGTAGTCTACACTTTGCGATACCTTGCACTTTCCTTACATCTATTGCTATATCCTGTAACCTTATACCAGTGTCCAGACCCGAAGAGTCTGTACCCAAAACCAATGAAGTTCATAATCCTCAAAATCACTACCACTACCCTGCTTGCACATCGTATCACCTAAGCATGTGAACGTAAGCTAACGCGGCTACCACAGGTCGGCTCCCCGGTTGCGGCCTCGAAACTGTAGACGGGCGTGTGCCGAGGTATGATTCAGACGCTCGGATGTACAGTGCATGGACGGTAAAGATGCGCTTAGGAAGAACAGCGATTAGTCTAGAGTGGAAGAGGGGGTGACATGTGAAAGGCCATTGCTCGAATAGTATATGAGGAACACACGCACAGTCGGCCCCAGCCACATCATCGGATGTCTTACTTGTGATATACACGGTACCACTGCGATAGCAATATGCCTTGAATGAGTTAACGACGTCTGATTATTCCGTAGCGGGGAAGAGTCTTGATCATGTTGGGTCGACGATGAGGCGCAATGGAAACAAGAAGGTCTGCGGACAAGAACTTGAAAGAAAAGAACGTTCACATGAACATTTGAAACCCATGATTCGTAGTCTCGTGGTATCTAGAGAAGTGGCGTTATCATGCCGAGTGCATTCAGTGTCCCGCGACTATGCAGACCAGATACATGACTAAACACCCATTTTGACCTGACCAATGCACCGAAGAAGCCCCAAATATCACCCTTACTTCCTGAGCAGACGCTGGTAGAAAGCAAGCTCCTCGCCCTCGAGGACGTAGCCGTCGCAGCGACCGCTCTGGCCGGGACGGGAAGAGACAGCGGCGTACAGACGACCGGCCTCGAACTGCTTCTCAACAGCGTTCTCGATCTTTCCTCCGTTCTTCAAGCGGTCGGCCTGCTTCTTGGAGACCGAGTTGGACTTCTTCTTGTCCTCCTCCTTCTCACCGGCCTTGGCCTGCCTCCTGCGGCCGAGCGAAGAGCCGTAGTGGGCCTCGTACCATTGTCGGAAGGGAGCGGCATCGATCTGGACGATAGCGGAGCGGGTCAGGGTGTTGGTACGGACGAGCTCGTTGTTGGAGGGGTGGTAGACGACACCGATGACACGGGTCTTCTTGGCGATGCCCTCGGAGCCCCAGGAGAAGTTGCCGGCTTCGAGACGAAGAGCACGGAACTTGCGGTTGCCGCCACGAGTGCGGACAAGATGGACACGCTTTGTGCCAATACGGGTATTGGCAGGCTGGCGGCCCTTCTCGAAAGCCCTGAAGCCATGTTAGACATGACTAGAGAAGCGATCGGGTTATGCATACCTCTTCTTGCGGTAGTATGCGCGCTTCGCACCGGACGCGGAACGCTTGTGGCGAGAGTCTCGTGAGATACTGGCGAGTGTTAGTGGCTGCAGCGGAGTGGGGGTGAGGGAAGGATAGATACCCCATGATTGCGGTTGTTCAGAAGACGCTGTGTCCACAATCAAATTAGCCTTTGCTCTCAGTTGCAAGTCGACGAAGCCGCAGCATTGTTCCAGCTGCCCGAGACGTCCTCCGCCTTGTACTGCCTGCTGTGGGAGTGTAGATATCGAGCGACTCGCGTGCGACCATACAATCCATTGGCGGAGGCTGACGGCGGCGGAACATTCGCGGGGCAGCGTCGATGTCGCAATGCTGAACGGCTCCGTATAATCGAGTAGCAGACGTTCTGTATAGCGTACCTGATGTCGGGTCTCCTGGTGCAATCTGTGTTGTCGTTGGGGTTAGTTGGCGCTTGTCAGAAGTCGAAGAGGAAATTCACGAAACTCATTTTCGCAGCTGCGTTGGTGCCAAGATACGCTAGCAGTAAGCGAGTCCTCCGCCGCCCCATCGCTCCTGCCATCGCCAGGACATCTCAACGAACATTACCAGTACACATCACTTATGCGTGATAGTTACAAGTACGGTCTGCGCTGTTGGGAGCTCGATCACCGCCGACGCGCGTAACCCCCGACCGAAAGACAAGACGACCAGGAACGGAACACCACGCAAAGCCATCAATCACCACACCTGTGGACAGCATGGGAACGTCAGCCACAGATGGTCATCAGAAGGTTTGTCGTCTGGCTAACTTTTGAAAGGCCGCTTATCTGTCACGAAGTCGATGTTCCTCTTTCTTCGCTGCAACATGCTCCTCCGCCATCTCTATAGCTGCTAGCTACACATGGTTCGCCAAGATTGTATCTTTCTCAACGTCCACAGATGCTGCTGATCCTTTCATTGTATTGGATCGGGAGTACGGAAATCAACAGCCCCAGGAAATGCCAGTCTTTTTGCGAGAACGCGTGGTGACAGCAAGTATGATATGATGACGATCTCGCGGCCACAAGTGCTTGCGACAACAATCTCTACCGTTTGATCCTCATCACCCGGCTTTTTGCGTTGGTCCCTGAGTTCTATTAGATGTTTGACATCGAAAGCAGCTCAAAGATCTTCCCTCGGCCAACACATAAAGATCCGGTCCCTTGTGGAGCTCGGAGCGAGCGAAGCACGCACCGGCTACACGCATGAACCTCCCGGTATCACCCGTGAAAGCAGCTGCGTGATCAGGTTATCAACACTACAAAGACTCTTCCGTGCCCAGAAAGATGCGATCAGCAGGATAGTGAACGCGTGTCGAATGACCCTGGTGCGACATCGAGGGACGTTTCTAGCGAGCACCTAGAAACACCATACATGTCCTCACCACGTGCGTTCAACCTTGCATCGAAGGTTTATCGCCTGAATGGGCCCGGCTGAATGTCACATACGCCACCCGCGACGAGCGCTTCGGACGGGTCCTCCGCAACCTGCACGTTGGGTCGACAAGTCACCTTTACATTTGGGAAGTCATCGATGACGCTTGAGTGTTCAATAGCTGAGTTTCCTTGCGTCATCGAAAATGCATGTAAATCAAGCTTGTATTGAGATCCCAGGCTTGTACTACGGCTGTGTGACAGAACTTCGACGATCAAGCTCAGTCAATGTCACGTAAAGTTGCGATGAGCTGACGAAAACGCTGGAAATGACCAACACATCATGCGCATTATTGTGCTGCTCGGGCACATGGCATTTCTCCTCCAACCCTGTCCTAGAACTCCTTCGACCTGGTTAAAGACTTCTATCAGAAACCTGCGCGATCGCGATTCGTCCGTTCACAATAACCTCGTCAGTTTTGCAGGCAGCACGGGTATGGTACAGGGGTTGCGGCTCGCTAAGGTACCTGGAAGGAACCAGTCTCTGGTAAACATCCAGCCGACGTATAAGGTTGCGTTCCCGCTCCGGGTAAAGCCATCTCCGCATTCGGGCGTTTCCAATCGGCACAATCGTAACCCCAGAATCCAAGAAAGTCTAATCAATAGCAATCTAAGTAGATGTTGTGTACCACAGTCCTAGCCTTTATCTCAGTCACCGGCCATCTCCTCGGTATATGTAGGACGCGGAGATTTTGATTCATTACCTTTGATTGCTTGCTGAGATCCTGCATTAGGTGTATTGAGAAGGGTTGTCACCAGGGTGTAACGTAAGACTGTATCCTCTGTTCTTCGCAGTAACCACTTCCACATCATGGCTCTTTGAGAATACTCTGTATTTGAAGCCATCTTCATCATGTACTCCGGTGCCGACCTTCGGTTGTGTCATGTCTTGTGCCTATGTGCGACTTGGCTAGGCGTTACATCCGCGCTAGCACAGGCGGGTATGCATCAGGTGTTGGCCATCATAGGACACTAGAATCATTCGCGCTGACTTTCATACAGAGCTAGCCGACTATGGGTCAAATTCTGCCTCGGGAGTCCAGTACTCTGTGACAGCGGAACCAAGTGAGTGGCGCTGACTAGCCCAAAGTTCGATGGCTGATCTGACATGTCGTGTCTAATAGACTCCAATATTGGTGCACCCACATATCTTGCGCCTCCAGTAGACCCAACACCTCCCTCCAACGCGATACCTTCGCAGCGATCTGAACTCATTCACAGTGCTTTGCTCTCGGAGCCAAACTTCATACCCTCAACGCTAGCCCCGCCTGGAGCCATACCGACTGCACCATTGCCGATTTCGAACCCATTGCTCATTCCCACCGACGGACCGCCGACGGATGTGACGACTGTGTTGACCACGTCTCAAGGAAATGCCACAGGGACGCCGCCAATGCTGTCAACAGTTGAAGGGTTGAAACCAATTCCGCCTGCCGCGACACAAATCGGAGATCCGGATGGGCATCACGAAATCAGCGAGCCAAACTTCAGTTCTACGCGGCCGTGTCGAGGATGCTCGCCAGTGTTTGAGATACCTGCTACAGGGTGGCTGGATAACCCAGTCGGTGAGCAACATGGCTCCACTATACAAGAAGAACAGACACAAGCGGCAACAGCAGACCCTCCGCAGGTAACGATATCAGCTGGGATATCTGACATTGTTATTGGCCAAGCTCCAAGCCATGGTGACTTCGTGATAGGAAGTTCTTTTACTCTTACACCTGGTCAGATCGTTACCGTTGGGGACACACCTATTGTGGTAGAGACCTCAGAAGGCAAGACCAAGATTGTCGTGGGGACTACTGTCATCTCACTGCAACCTTTTCAACCTGCTATCACAGACGCGCCCATGTCGCAACCACCGGTCCTACTTCCACCAATACTCACCATCGGTACCGAAGTCATTGCGCCCAACGCGCAGACAGAATACGTCATTGCAGACCAAACTCTTTCTCCTGGCGGTGAGCCCCTGACTATATCCGGGACAACACTCATTCTTGCACCTTCCGGGACGGCACTCATCATCAACGGCGAAACATCCAGTATCACTCCAATGTTTGGTGACGTGTATACGTCCACAGTCGCGGCTGCCTTGACCTTCAAAGATCATGTGTATACGCCGAATCGCGCTGGCTACATTGTGATAAGTCCTGGCACGACTTTGGTGCCTGGAGGCGTCCCCGTTACAGTTGACGGCACAACGTTGAGCCTCGAGCATAGCGGAACTGCTGTAGTCGTCCAGGGCACTACAATGAGTCTTCAACCGGTCACGACAGTCGTCACATTGACCAAGGGGCCAGATGCGCTCGGGACAGGGTCGGATGGAGATGGCGGGAATGTCCACGGGCAGTCGACTGGCAACGGCTATGCCTACCCCACAGGAGAACCGATCATCGCGGGAGCGACACGAACTAGTAGTGCGATACCAGAAAATTGGCTGGGAAGCTTCCTGTTGCTGATATGGTGGGGTACGGGGTATCTTGCAGTCCGACTATGAAAGGGTTGGTGTATTCGCATAGATTGAACCTGTAGATCTTCGCGCGATAGATCTCTCAATGCATCCAGCGGCGTTTGAATTGGGATGTTGACCTAAACCACAATTGCGCGCGGATAGATCTTGGCCATTCTTGTGAACAAATGTGTCTATTCTTCAGGCTGGCGATTGCGATGGCTCCATGCTGATGACGAAAGAGCTGAGTGGTAGACGCTGGCGGGCGGCGCTGTAGGGTTGGCACACCGCGAAACTCGGAGTCACGATAGTCGTCAGATGACCCCTTCGTGGCATCGAGAAAGATCTGGCAGCACGATCGTGAGCTTGCGAAAAAAATCACTCACTTGCTGTCACACCACACCCCCTATCCACACCGTCGTCACGCGCCCCAGCGCTCACCGAACAAAAAATTCTCGTCGCCAAACCTCCAAAGGCATTTCTCTAACAGTTAACGGACATGCGCTCAAGGTAAAACACGGTCTTTACGTACAAACATCCACTCCCAGTGCAACAGCAGCGTCTAGACTAAAAGGACCGAAGCAAACTTGGCATCCGACGGGCAACTTGGGGGCGGGAAAGGGCCTGCGTGGATCAGGTACACGCCGTGGTGCGACGAAGCGTGGCAGCCAATAACAGAGATTTTCCCCGCCATACCTCCAAAGGCAGTCTTCTAGCAGCTAACGGACACGACCGAAAACTCGTCACCGCGCCTTTACACACACATGCGCCTTGCCAAAATTAGCCGCCGACGGGAAACGCTCCGGCGCGCCATCGGAAAAGACGCACCAGGGTAGGGCGTGGGCACCTCATTGTCATGATGATGATGGCACGGACCCTCTCACGCCCTGTGAAGGTGTTCGTTGACAAGAATTCAGTGGGTTTGTCAGCCCGCAGCCAATCAGACGGCCGCATGGCCTCAAATCTCACGATCGTTTCGTCGACAGGTGCAGGGCGTGCGCAGAGTGTGCTGAGTAAAATTTTGGCAAAGGTTTGGTCCCAGGGCGTGACCGGTGATGCTTGGCGGGTGTCATAGAGAAGTTTCTGGGGATGGGCTGGGGGAGTATAAAGGGATGGGTGGGTACGTGAGGATGGAGGCATCAACACAGCAAAGCATACCACAGCCTTCAAGCAAAGCAACCACTACTATCAGTTCTTCGATCGACCCTCGAGCATTTACCTCACATCGATCATCACCACAACACAAACAACCACCATCAAAATGACCAACTTCCTCTCCTCCGTTGCGGCACACGCAAAGGCTCACCACGAGAGCGTCAACGCTGCCTACAACACCTACTACACCGGCTCCTCCGCAACTACCCCATCAGCCTCCACACAAACCTCCCGCAACTCCTCCATGGCGGGCCCTTCCTCCACTCAGCGCAACCCCACCAACGCCGCCAAGGCATGGAAGGCCATCAAGCAGCACCACCGCGAAATGAACTCTGCATTCGCCGTCTACTACAGCCCCGGCAATTCTCCCTCCGCATCCCGCAGCTCATCCCTCGCTTCCAGCCCCAGGCAGAGCGGCGAGGCACCCCGCAAGGGCGCTGCTACTGGAGAGCAGGAGATGGCTGCTGAGCTTGGCCCAAGGAACTACCAGAAGGCGTGGAGGGCTCTCAAGAACAAGGTTGTTGAGCACCACAAGAGCGTTAGCAACGCTTACGAGCAGACCTACGGCATCCACTAGACGCCTCGCTTGCTAAACACGGGGAAGATATGGGGATGTAATCCTTGGGAAACGGAAAAGGGACAACAAAAGTGACTTTTTGGGATGCGCATATACCACTGGGATTTGGCTCGGTAGCTAGGCGTTTTGGGATCTGGATTGGGACTGAGATCTTAAGAGATCTGATTAATATGAAAGAACGATAATATCATGATTGCGCAAACACTTCTACATGCCCATGGATGATTGTAATTTGTGTCGGTTGTAGAATTGGAAAGAAAAGACGTTGATAATAAGCTATACTCTAAAACTAACAGTCACGCCAACCTAGGAATAAACTAAATAGCCTAGAGCCTGCATTAACGTTAGGTCACCTACTTTGTAAGGTTTTAGCTTAATGTAGCCTGCAGACCCGTTCGGTTTTTTTCTTGTATGAGGTGCAATCGCTCCGTACATCAGCTTCAACGGCTGGATATGCTCTATATAGCTAACCTGCCCCTTCACCCACGGTCACTTTCCACCCCTTCAACAGCTCGACATTCATTCCAGATGCTTCCAGGTACTTCCGCGTGTGCTCTTGCCTGTCTTTGAGCCACGTACCGTCTTTGTCTATCCCCTTGCCACGCTTACGTTTCCAGTCAGCACCAGTCCATGGCCTCATCTTGCTGGTTTTCATCCAGTCCTTGAGAGCTTCGTCTTGAACACTAATATTCAGTGTACCATGAGGAGAGAGAGATATGCGTTTGAGGCTTGCGAGGAATTTCGGATCAGGATGCGCCCAAAGTGAGTTTTGAGTTGCAAACACTGCATCGTGGATGTCTCGATCTTCGACGCCGTGAGGTTGAGGGGAGGAATTATCGCGCCCGGGATTAAGTGTCCAGACGTCGCACCGAAGTGATGAAGAGCTCTGCATCAGCCGCATCAGGGGCAGAACATCGAAGGGACGCTGTTCTTTCTTGTCAAACTTGTCGAAGAATACCGTCATCTTCGCAGGAGGACGAGCGGGTCGGGTGGGGATCTTTTGGTCGGCAATCGTCTCGTCGGGGACGTGATGGAAAGTCTCAAGGTACCCTTTGAGAAATCGTACAGAAATGTAAACATGAGTGAGACTGTTTTGCAGCGAGCGAAATTCCCAATGAAGTTGGCGGCATGTTTGGCCCAGTGCGAGCCAATCCTTCTTCAAGCATCGAAAGTGCGCGTATTCTGCTTCATTTAGAAGGGGCGGGTAAAGATTAAGGCGAGCCATCCGATCTGGATCTTGTGTGTGCTGCTCCAACAGCGGTTCGATCTTGCTGCACTTATAAGATTCGTACTCTGTCTGCAAATCCCCAGTGACAAGTTCGTAGATCGTGTTCCGTACTCCTACAAGCTTATTAGATTCGTATGTTACAATGCGCTTGGATGTTATGACCTACCTGCTGGAAGAGACAGCAACCTGTTGCTCTCATTGCTCTTGGCTGCTTCAGTGATACTGCCCGCAATTGGCTGTCCCAGCGCGGTGGGCGTGGCAGATCTCTTTGCTTTCGCCGCGCGGCGGGATCGCTTGATATAGGTATCAGCGGGCCCAATGGGGCGCTTGCGTTTGCTATCAATGCTGTTAGTCGTTGGTTCGATGAATGGAGGCGCTATTGTACTTACACCATAACGGAATTATTCGAGTTCGTGTTCCTCTAAGCGCGATGGATGAGTTGAGTATCGCGGGTGTCGTTTCAACGTTCGGTGTGCGACAGTGAGATGGATCGGAAAGTAGGGGGAATAAGGCCACTTTGATGGGGTCGAGGTGGTCACAATGAATTCAACTACCCTCATATCAGGCAGCAATGGCCTGTGTTTGAGGCTACATGTAGTGAAATATCTGCCCAGATGCGGACTATCACGCCCATAGCTGCATACAATTCACTGCTTACCCCCTAGTAATGAGTCGGGATAACCCAAGCTCAGGTCAGATTGGCTGTGGTATGAGTGACTATCCCATGGTCAGCAAGTGAACATGTCCATGGGCGTTGCCACAAGCCCTATGAATGCCGCTATTCCAGTACAGTGAATCGCATTTCCCATCTTGCCTTGATTTCTTCATCGTTCAAGCCAGCAGCCCCAAGGAACTTCAGAACATCTTGCCTTCTTGCTCTTTCTTTGTTCATGCGCGTGAGAGCTCGTTGCGGCTGGGCGGGGAAGCTTATCAACTTTCCGTCCATCCAGTCTCGTCTTGACACAGGATCGAAGACCACTTTGAAAGCCGCGCTATACCATATATCATGGTAGTTATCAAGATTCCCCTCGTAGACTCTTCGCCTCCCGTACGGACGAAACATTAACTTCGAGATAGTGAGGGCACCTCCCCGCGGTGCAAAGATATACTGGCGAAGGGGTTGCGCAAGGACCTTGTACCAGTCCCCGTCTTCTTTGTAAGCACCCCAAATATTGCATTGCAGGGACGATGCGCGGTTGAAGAATCGTAAAACTGGCATTATGTCATACATCTGGTATGAATGGCGTGGTAAAGCAAGCGTAATGCGTGGACCCTGATAGTCGAAAGCAATTGCTGGGTCTTCGCTCGGGTAGAATATCTTTACAAAGTTCCAGAACTCATCAAGAGTCACAAAAGGCTGCAGGCGAGCGCGCTGGAAGGGTCGGTACTCTGTGAATGTTGCAATAACAAGTCAGTGTATGGCCATGTACATTAACGAACACCAGACTTACCACGCATGAACTGACGTGATATCTGCCCAACAGCCAGTAAGTCTGTCTTCATAGCACAGTACCCATCATGTATCGCAGCTTGAGTGGCGGCGTTGACACGTCGCAATGGATCAGTGTCTGCCCAGGGAATGACATTGAAGCCGTTCGGCGCGCTCATAACCAGCGGACATGGGCTATTGCGTATTTGTGCAGTTGGTGGACCATGTGGATCTACTCCCCTACGCGTGACCATATATGGTCGATGAGTCACTACAAATTGATCGAACAGAGCCTGATAGATCCTGTTCCTGATCTCTGCATGATGTTAGCACTCGTGCGCGTTGCAGAAGACGTCTCACTAACCTCCGGGAAATCTGAGAAGCGGATTGGTGGCGTTCACTGCAGTAGCTGCTGCGGCAGCCGCTGCTCTTCTGGCGCGTACTCGGCGAATAGCCGCAGTCTCGGCTTCGCGGCGGCGCTTAGGACTGCAAGCATTAGTGATGTTATGACGCCATTATGTGGACATACGGCATATAAGATAGTCTTTAAGTGCTTGGATACGGGTTGTATAGATATGTAATGTCCGTTCAGACTGGAAAATCGCACCGCACCGCTACTTCAGAAGAGCTTGATGTAATCCGAGTAACAAACAAAGGATGCGAGTGTAAAACTGATGGCAGGTAGTGGCTTTGTGGAGACGGGGCTATCAAAGGCTCATTGTCTGAGAACAAGACATTGCCTACACTGAATGCGTAGGGAACTTGGATATTTTCAATCGATCCACGCACAGTCGCCTAAGTTGACGTGATCGTCAACAAAAACCCGACCATAGCTCTTGATCTTCGGTGCAGCCATTTGTATGTCTTTGCGTTTCCTCTCATCAACTTGCATGGCATACAAATAGTCGTGAAGGCCAGAGTCCTCGGCTATGCGGGCGCTTGGCAATGTGGATTGATCGAGACCAAGTATAGTGATGTATGCCGTCGGAGAGTCTGTGATAGCGACTATATCGCCACCATCAAAAGGCGCTGCCGTGAGCTGGCCTTCGCCAGTTCCCTGCCAGCTCGCACGGGCAGCGACATCTACCACCTCGCCGGTTGTGACATTGAGGGTAAAGGCTGTAATGACTGCTTGAAGCGAAGACTGCGAAAGTGCCCACAATGTGTTTCGAGACGCAGAAATAGCCAGAGATGATGACTGAAACTGTTTCGCATCCAAAGAAGTAGGAAGTATTCTATATCGCAGGACCGGAGTAGAATTGCTCACGAGAGTGTCACCTGCCAAAGAAACGACAATCAGTTCGTTTGAGTCCTTAGTGACGATGTACGTTAAAGTTTCGCTGGGATGGGCGACGATTTGTGAAGCGCTTGTGACATTACCAAGGACATCAATACCCACCACGTCCTGCAAATTCGGGTCTTCGGACATATGGAAGTTCGTAATTGACGTCAAGAGACTTCCGGAAGAGTGCGAGTCCAATGCGTGCAAGTTACGCCCATTGGGAGCCCATGCAATAGAGTGTACGTCTCCGGCGATCTCTTGGGAGTTGATAGTATCATAACCGTCTGGCGACACCCCAAAGACGATACTGCAAGTTCCTGTGCTAGCACTGCCCCATATAGCAGTGTTGTGCACGGAAGATCCTAGCTGTAGAGACACGAAGTTCGTAGTGTTGCCTGGATTGGTCAGAACGATTCATGCAGGTGTCATGATGAGAACCAACATGATGAGGGTATATCCATGGTGCCTTCGCTGATGAGCTCGTATGTAGGCGCAATCGAGTGGCGCGTCAGGGTTCCATCCTGCGGACGACTGCTGAAGAGGTGTTGCTTCGAGCGCTACCGAATAGGTCAACGGGAATGACCCTTATTGAAGATTGATTCACGTACGTCGAGCGTCAAAGACGGCGATGCTCCACCCGCATCTCTTGCCTGAATCGTATACACTTTTCTGGATTCATCGTCCATCTCCAGCGAGTACAAGGCCTGCCCATTCGTAGTGCCGACTGCAAGATGGTGCAGTAGCGCGTTCATAGACGGTACAAATAGTACGATTGCAAGGAGAGTCAACATGGCGCCGTATGATGAGTTGAGAACCAGACCAATGTGAGTGTAAGAATATGGTTCCATCGTCTCGCAGTTTATCAGCATGTGAGCCAGCCCCTGCATGACACATTTCCGTGAAAGCGCATTGTGGGGTGCAGCTGGTGAGAGGGCTTCCAATATCGAGGGCGAATCTCTGGTGATTAACCATGCCGGTAGTTGCCTCGATCTAATATTGCCCAAAATCAGTGGCGCCTGCTGATCACGCGCGAAGGCATCTGATAGTTATTGGTGCTTGACACATGATCATGGGTATGGTGACATGGCTGACTCTCTGCGAATTGCTCCTGTCGACCAGACGCATCTCACGGACGCCCGGAAGTGGGGATGGACATTGAGGAAGAGCAACTGTCTAATAAGTCAGAGATCTTCATTACCGGTATTGCGCCCCGATCGCAGAGGATTCGTGCGCGACGACGATAAAACACGTGGTCAGGAACATGGCATTTTGATGCTGATATGAGGGTCATTGAAGGAGGCTGGGACGCGTGCACCGAGGCTGTGCTGTTAGGCGCTAGTGGGAGCTTACGTCATAGTCGCGAAGAGCACCATCCCCTTTCCGCCCCTCTCGTAACAAGCTTTCGAAGTTAGAACCAGCCACTACGCGTTAGACTTGAGTAACATTCTGAGGATTGACAGCGTTCTTTAGATTTGTTTGAGCAATCGTGTAAGAAATACCTTGCATTCACCTGCTAATGGTAAAGGACAATACAGCGCGCACGTCCACTTGCATGTGCACCTGCAGTGTACGCTAAACTGCATGGTCAAGGAAAGCCTGAACATCCTCTGTATCATGCAAAGTCCCAGACTCAAGATCGTCGCGATAGAAACTCGGAAGAAGCTCATCTGTCTCCTCCAATGCCAACCGCCGAGAGAATAGCTTCCGCCAAGGCCAACCTAGGAACCCACACAAAACACGTCCGCATTTCGCCAGTCTGCATTTAACAGACTCGTACTTTTCGTCGATGTACATTTCACAGCGACCGACCACCCTGGCCGGCATCTCATCCTCGTCCCACAACAAATCCCAGCGGCAATTCAGCAGAACAGCTCGAAATGAAAGACGCGTCTTCAATTTCACTCCGTGATCGTGACGAAACGACTCAAATCCAGGAGTGCGCGCAGATAACGGCGTATACTTCCATCCTGCCGGGCCCGCAGCGAGCGGCGAACAGTTCGTGTAGCTTACATGCAGTGGAGCCGGAATATGCGGACGCTGAAGGACCGGTTTACTACGAGCATTGGTCTTCGGGTAATAGGAGAAGTAGTCCTCTTGCGCTGTGGGTTGGAGTGTCGCATATGTTTCGTTCCGTGTGACCACGCGTGTATTTGCTCGACCGTTCATCGTCCTTTGTCCCTGTTTTTGGAACATGTATTCACGCCGTCTGGGAATGGTGAATAGGCGGGTGAACGCTAGGATATAGTACTGATACCACATTGTGCGGGTAGAACATGCGCGCTTTGTCTGGCACATGATGTCTGATTCTGAGGTCTCACATGCGCCTTTCACGCACACTGCCGAAGTGACTGGGTGTTTAACAGCCTGTACATCGTTGAGGATACTTCGGTATCGTTCAGGGTGTCGCGTTGATGTCGGATGTCGACTCCTCTTAGTGTACGCCGCCTATCCTGCCAACATAGACCCATTCACCATCTCCTTGTACACGCCATGGGCTTGCAAAAATCTGACTCTTTTCCTCAGTGTCGTTCTCGGCGACGTCCAGGTACCACTGTTTCCACGTTGAATCCCAGGTCCAGTCTTCCCACGCACCTAGCACTTCTACCGCGACATCCGGCATCAGGTTTACACCAGCCATGCTCACATGCTCCCAAACGTTTCTGATCTCATTCAACTTCCAGCG